TCAGGGGCCCGGGAGCCCCAGGTCCCCTGCCAGTGGGGGTGGGGGGGAAGGTATACCAGCCGGGATGTCCTTTCAGGGGGCTGAGACCTCTGGGGGGGTGATCGGGCCAGCAGAAGGCTCTCCTGCAGGAAGGAGCCTCCCTGGCTGGGGACCCCACCCTGGGACCCCATGGACTCGCAGCGCCTCAAGGGGCCCGCAGGCCAGCACTGGGGGCGAGTCGGGGGTACCTGCCTCCCCAGCCTGGGCTGCTCACCCCATCCCCACGGCTTCCCAGAGGGCAGAACCCGGAGCCACGGCCACAACGTCTGCAGCACCTGGGGCGACTTCCACTACAAGACCTTCGACGGCGACATCTTCCGCTTTCCCGGCCTCTGCGACTACAACTTTGCCTCCGACTGCCGGGACTCCTACAAGGAGTTCGCCGTGCACCTGAAGCGCAGCCTGGGCCGGGACGGGGGCCACCCCCAGGTCGAGTCCATCCTGCTGACCGTCAAGGACGACACCATCTACCTCACCCGCCAGCTGGTCGTGGTGAATGGGGCCATGTGAGTGGGTCAGGGGCCCCACTGCCCCGCGATGGGGGCCGATGGCTCCCGGGAGCAGCGTGTCCCGGGCAGACCCTGAACCCTCGTCCGCCCAGGCACTCGGCTGAGAGGGAGCTCCTTGAGGTTTGACGTCAGGTCACAAATTCACCCCACACACGCCGGCGAGCCCCTATCAGCCCCCACAGTCCTTACAGCCTCTCCCCTGGAGCCCACCAGGCTCGGGACAGCCTGGTGGTTGCTGCCTCAGGACCTTGTGCAGGGCGTGGCCTTGAGCACGGCCCCCAGGCTAGAGTTAGAGGCAGGTGGAGGGGGTGGGGGTCTGTGGGAGCCCCTTCCCACTCCCGCTGTTGTTCCCGTATTGTCTCCAGAACAATGAGGCCCTCTTGGGTGTCTTCCTGTCCAGCAGGTTTCCACCTGCTGCCCCTTTTCTGCCCTTTGTCTGCTCCGGGTTCTGTTTCCCAGGAAGGCTCATGTGGGTGGGGTGGGGGCCCTCAGGGTCTGAAGCTCAGCAGGTGGGTGACCCTGGACCTGGAGCAATCCTAGGGACCACTAGAAGGGGGTGGGATTCCAACAGCCTCAGGGACAACCTGGGGATGGGAGCAGGGGCTGGGGCTGAGCAGGTGGGGGCTGTCCCTTGGAGCAGCGGGCCTGGAAGGGTCGAGGCAGCCTGGCCCCCTGTGTCCGCAGGCCCCTCCAAGGGGAAGCTGTCCAGGACAGTGCCCGAGGAGGGTGCCTGGAGCAGAGAGACGGACGGGCAGGAAGCGACCCCGCCCAGGAAGCCCGGCTAGCCGGGCCGAGGTGCACCCTCTGGCCCCTGCCACATCCCCTGACCCCAGAGCCACCACGTCTGCGGTCCCAGGGGGAAGCTGGCCCGAGGCCTCCATCCTGCCCACTGAGGCACACAGCCTCAGTGTCCCCGGGCGGTGGGATCCAGGGCGGACGGGCCTTGGAGCCCCAGGTGGTCAACCAGGCGCCTGCTGCCCCCAGGGTCAGCACCCCGCACTACAGCTCAGGGCTGCTTGTGGAGCGGAACGATGCCTACACCAAGGTCTACTCCCGCGCCGGCCTGGCCCTTATGTGGAACCGTGAGGACTCCCTCATGGTGGGTGCCGCTTGGGGTCCTGGGGCGGCGGGGGCTCCCTCAGGCCTCCGGGCTGGTGACCCGGGGGAGGACCAGGAGGACAGCGGGCTGGCCCCTCAGCCGAGAGGACAGGGCCGCAGCTAGCAGGGAGGGCTAGAGAGAGTGGGTGGGCGGCGGGGTGCACTGCCCTGGAGGGGACCCCAGGTCCACCCACTCCCCCAGACACCAGCTGCTGCCCGGGGACCCTCCCTGCCCCGCCCAGCTGCCTCTTGCTGGGCAGGAGGAGGTCTGTCCACGGGGTGACAGCCGGGAAGGCTCTCCCGCCCCAGCCATTTGGGGGAGCCCAGCCCCTGGCCCAGCCTGCTTCGGGTTCAAACAAGGGCGTGTCTAGGGTGGGGGGCGGCCCTGGGCACCAGGGTGGGCCAGAGCCGGGCTCACGCACTCCCTCCTGCAGCTGGAGCTGGACAGCAGATTCCGGAACCACACCTGCGGGCTCTGCGGGGACTTCAACGGCCTGCCCACCTACTCCGAGTTCCTTTCGGACGGTGAGGCCCGGGGGGTGGGGGGCCGTGGGGTGGGAGGCCGGGCAGGCCGAGGCCCCAGGCGCCCCGCTGATGCCGTGTCCCACAGGCGTGCTCTTCAGCGCGCTGCAGTTTGGAAACATGCAGAAGATTAACAAGCCTGAGGCCGTGTGTGAGGACCCAGAGGAGAGGCCGGCCCCCGCGTCCTGCTCCGAGCACGTGAGTCACCTTGGCACGGCGGGCTGCTGGGCGGGTGGGTGGGCGGCTTCCAGAGCAGCCACCCATCGGGTCTTCCCGCGTCCCCCAGCGCGCCGAGTGCGAGCGACTGCTGACCGCCGAGGCCTTCGCGGACTGCACGGACCGGGTGCCCCTGGAGCTGTACGTGCGTGCCTGCATGCAGGACCGTTGCGGGTGCCCGGGCAGCGACGCCTGCATCTGCAGCACCCTGGCCGAGTTCTCCCGCCAGGGCTCCCACGCTGGCGGCCGACCCGGAAACTGGAGGACCGCCACGCTCTGCCGTAAGCGCTCCCGAGCCTGGGACCCCGTGGCCAAGCGGGAGCGAGGCTGCCGCTGACCCTCCAGCGTGGAGCCCGTGGCCGTGCTCCACCCGGCGCCATCGGCTGTTCACGCGGTGCCTCTGCCCTTTCAGCCAAGAGCTGTCCTGGTAACATGGTCTACCTGGAGAGCGGCTCGCCCTGCATGGACACCTGCTCGCACCTGGAGGTCAGCAGCCTGTGTGAGGAACACCGCATGGATGGCTGCTTCTGCCCAGAAGGTGCGGGCGCCGGGGTGCGGCAAGCCCGGGGCCAGGGGGAGTCATGGCCCTGATACAGCCCGCCTGGGCCCGGGTGCCTGTTGCCCGGGGCCTCAGGTTTCCAGCTGCAGCAAGGGGACTGCTGTGCTGGACGGGGGACAGTGATTTCAGAGGACACCTCTCCCCCACCCCAGTGTCAGGTCCAGGCAGTGGGGCATTGTGCCGAGACCCTCCCCCAAAGTGGCTCCATGGGGGCTGGAGTGGGGGTTCCTTCCTGGCTGTAGACAGACCCCTTCCTGGGGGCCCCTGGGGGGAGAGTGACTCTTGGGCTGGCAGGTGGCCTGCAGGCTGGCTCCCTGGGCAGGCCCGGCCCCGAGACAAGGTAAGTGGGCCAGGCAGGGCGGAAGACTGAACTGGTGGCCCCGCCAGGGGATGCCAGCCCTCTCTGGCCAACCAGGGTGACATGGTGCCCTGCCTGCCCCAGGCACTGTGTATGATGACGTCGCGGGCAGCGGCTGCATCCCGGTCAGCCAGTGTCACTGCAAGCTGCACGGACACCTCTACACCCCGGGCCAGGAGGTCACCCACAACTGCGAGCACTGGTGAGTCTTGGAGCCGGGGACGGCTGGCCAGCGGGGTGGCGGGGCGGGCACCTGACCCCATGCCCCGTTGCCCCCAGTGTCTGCGATGCCGGCCGCTGGGTGTGTAAGGAACTGCCGTGCCCCGGCACCTGCGCCCTGGAGGGCGGCTCCCACATCACCACCTTCGATGGGAAGAAGTACACCTTTCACGGGGACTGCTACTACGTCCTGGCCAAGGTGGGCGGCCAGGTCCCGCCAGGGGCAGGCTGGCGTCCGGGCCCTGGCCGGCCCGGGGAGTGGGGGGACGGACCATCCCTGGAGAAGGGGAGCCGTGCGCTGGCCCTGGGCAGGGGTGGGTGTGGCTTCTCTTGGGCCGGAGCACGAGGCACCGGCCTTCCTCTCTGAGCCATCGCGGGGTCCTGGGGGGCAGGACCTCAGTTGCTGCCATGTCCCCACAGGGTGACCACAGCACTTACGCCCTGCTGGGCGAGCTGGCCCCCTGCGGCTCCACGGACAAGCAGACCTGCCTGAAGACTGTGGTGCTGGTAGACGAGAAGAAGAATGTAAGCGCGCGCACCCCTCCTCTCCCCCCCTCCCCTCCCCTCCTGGCATCCCAGTCCCCAGCCCGTGAGACCCCCACACGCTCGGTCTTCCCGCAGATGGTCGTCTTCAAGTCCGACGGCAGCGTGCTGCTCAACGACCTGCAGGTGAACCTGCCCCACGTGACCGGTGAGTCCGGCTCCAGAAGGGTCTGGCACCCTGGCCCGCTTGGCCCCAAGGCTGGGTGGGGAGGCCGGGCGGGAGGCCGCAGGCTGGGTGGGGAGACCGGGCGGGAAGCCTGGGCCTGGAGGGGT